TTAGAGAATAATAAATAAAATGGAGGTTTTTCTTTCGTGAAAGCTTATGGCCAAATAAATCTGTTAGTCTTTAAAGGTGCCACCAGACTCCTTGTTGTTTTTTGTAGATACAGACTAACACGGCTACCCCCTGATACTTGACATATGTAGCTACAGACATACCCTCTCCTCTGAAACGTCAAACCAGGGTTGTTTTCTAGAGCGCTCCTTCCGGGAAACCCAATGTGTCCCACTCCTTGAAAAGTCCTGAATTCTTAATCTGCATGTTCACTCGCTCACACGTACACTCACACACGCTTCTCCGTGTGGGTGGCTGGACTGTTCTCTATTAAGGACATGCTGATATAGCAACAGCTCTTCATTTCTTTCCTGGTTTAGGACAAGAAATGTAAGGACCAGTACTAATGCGGTGGCCAAGTTGAGGATTCAAGCCCTTGAAAGTTGGAACATTTCAAAAGTGAAGGTTCCTTGTTAATTATGGTCCTCCAATGGACTGTTTGTTTTAACCTATACTAATGGTTCTCAGGGGATGTTCACTCTGGGATGGTGTCTCCCCCACTGCCTCCCCATTCCCTCTCCTGCCTGTCTGGGACCCACCCCCCTTTTTAGACATGGATTGAACAGTTGCGATTGCCTGATGCGTTCACAACCCCAAGTCCGAGAATCCATGATCTATACCAGAAGCTTTCAAATTGTGTGTGTGTGGGGGGTTGGACACACAAGGAGCTGATGGGGCCGGGCTGAAGGGCCAGGAGTGGGCTCTGTCCGGCAGGGGAAGCAGATGGGGCTCCGTGCAGACATCTCAGCTGCCAGAAACAAGCTCCCCCATTGCACAGCTGCAGCACCCACCTACTGGCAGTTACCCTGGGGAGGTTGATGGGGACTCTGAGCAGGGAGCTGAAGGCTGCACCCTGGGAGTACTGGCCCCCTGCCAGGCAGAGCCCCCTGCTGACACTGGCCCTTCAGCGTGGCCTCAGTCCCATCCACTTCCCTGCTGGACAGAGCCTCTGCATGGGAAGCGGATGTGGCTGCACTTGAAGGGCTGGGGTCAGCAGGGGGCTCTATCTGGCAGGGGCCAGTACTCACTGGGTGCAGCTTTCTGCTTCCCTGCTGCCCCCAGCCCTTAGCGCTACCCTGTTCACTTCCCCTGCGCAGTGGGGGAGCGAGACAGGCAGGGAGCTGTGTCCCGGCAGCTAAGACTGCTGGATCATGCATGCAGCAAGTGGCTTCCTCAACAACCACATGGTGAGTGCCCCCTTAGGTACCCGGCATCCTCTCCCCCCTTGTGTAGAAAGAGTGGGGCACACATGAGACAGGTATCTCTGAAAGGGGAACGTCTGATCTATCCCCGTAAAACACCAGATGGCAATGAGGTCAAGTTAGCGTTGTGGTAGGACCTTAACATGGGGAATTTCCTGACTTCTGATGGGTTGGCTTCTTAGCCTCAATGCTGCATTAACTCCATTTTTTTGTGTTTAGCATTAAATTCCAACCCGTTAAACCAATGCTAAGTGAATGTGCACGTTTGGGAAAGGCAGGGTTTACATTTCTTGTAGCAATGGGGGCAAGCTATTCATACTGCAGTGAGAACCATCTGCATTGCCCAACTCCTGGGTTTTACATTGGTAACTAATGGGGTGTGGATGTAGAATCTTCACCCGGAGCCCTTTTTTAGTCTGAAGAGGGAAAAGGGGTGGAAGGCTCTGGGGGGGGGAGAGGTCCAGGGTCATAAGACCCTACTTCAGACCTCCCACTGACAGGTGTGGAGACCTCCATGCATTCTTCCCTCACACAGCCATACCAACATGCAGCACACACCTTGTCCTCTCCCCTGGCAGGACCTTTTCCTCTGGAGTTTCAGCAATGCTTTCCAATCCCAAAGTAAGTTAGGAAGCGAAATCATGTTCCCATCTTAAAGAAGGGGAACAGTGAGGTATAGAACGGTTAAGCGACTTGCCCCAGTCACCCTGCAAATTCAGCCCAGTCCCACCACTTTCCCCCCCTCAAAGCTGGTGTTGAGACCAAATGTGAGAAGCTTCAGCCCAAAAGGAAATGAGAGCTGATTTGAAATGGCTAGTATGGAAATACCCTTGCAATCTACCATTCCTTGCTGCTGCAGTGAGTAGTACGTGTGTGCACATAGCTCTCTCTGTTACATGCCCAGAGCCGGAAATGCCACTTCCCCCTGTTCAGTAATACTTCCCATCTACTTTTCCTTATGGCAGTGAAAAACGCTTTGCCTTCAGAAAGAAAGGGGGCAAGGGTGATCCCTAATCACACGTCGTCTTGTTTGCTCAGGAATCTGGCACAGATATGGCAGTGAGACAGGGGTGAGCTCACAAATGTACAGTGAAAATTCCCTGCCTACCGACCCGGCCCAGTGCTACAGCACCAGGTGACGGGCTGCAGGTCACAATCTCAGCCTGATACCTTGCTCTCAAGAGCAGCAGGGCCTGGGAGCACGTGCATGGGGAGACTTGGGGTGATGCAGGCATCTGAGTGAGGGTGAGATAACGTGTTGGGGGCCCAGAGAGACTCCTACTGGCCCCCAATAGGAAAGTTATCCCAGGGGAGCATTGCAAACCGTAAGTATGGGAGGCAAGGTGGAAAAAACAGATTTTGATTCACCTGCCATTCCATGCTATAGTAACTTAGCACTCCTACAATGCTGACATCTTCAAAGCACCGCATAAGCCTCGCACCGCCCTTGGGAATTGGGTCAGTATTCTCCTACTTTACAGACAGGGAAACTGAGGGACAGAGGTTCTGTGACATGCCCAAGCCTGTGGAGGGAGTAAGTTGTGGGGGAAGGATTAGAACTTGTTTCTGTCTCCTTGGCCCTGCGCTCAATCTACTAAGTGCTGAAGAAGGAAAAAGTTCTGGCAACACATTGGCATCAACTGCGGCTCGCGTCTGATGCTCACTTCCCTCCTCCCATCTCTCCCTAGGTCCGATGCTGTTCCTCCCAATTTTCCATAAGCAGAACAAGAACCAAATCAAACGTCTTATCAGCGTGTGTACAGAGCTGGCGGCCAGACGGCGTTGCGGTGGCAGGGGACGAGACCAGAGACCGCACCGGCTCCATGGCACCCACCAGTTTATAAACACAAACCTTACTTCTGAATGTAAAAGGTTCCTCTGCCTTTGACTTCCTGTTGACCTCTTCCTGACCCAGAAAGCATGGAAAATGTGAAGGGTATGCAAAACGGTTGTTGGCTAATGTTGCTCCCCCCCATGCTGACCTTTGCCCCCCCTGAACCCCAGCATAACGTATTAACTAGCTGGCTCCAGACTTGATGCGGCAGGGAGGGGGCAGCGGGGGGAAATACGGCATGATGGACAGTTCTATATTATAATTAAAGGAATTCTATATTATTGAATAAAAGTTTTAAAAGAAATGTATGGAGAGTATTCAGTGTGGAAGGAGCCCTGGGGCATGCCCCCCTCAGTGGAGGATGCTGAGGTTGGTCAGAGCCCTTCCTGGTGCTGTCTCCTGCCATTCGCTTGTTTTCTGTGGTGGGAAGAGAGTGAATCTGTTGTACAAGGGTGGGCTAGAGCCCGCCGCCTCCAGCTACTGGGCGGGCTTAAGCAGCCGGGCTACTGGAGGACAGGACCTCGTAAATCGATAGGAAAACTCCACGCTGGGCCTAGCATCTTTCCCTCAATATCAAGCTCCTTCGGAGGCCTGGATAAACACTAGACGCTTGGTCCCCCATGTGGTGTCTGCACCGCAGCAGAGGGTGAGACTGGCTGCCACTTTTAGCTAGTATCCCATTTTCCTCCCCTCCACCTCTGAAGGAATGGCAGAGCCAGGAAAGGCGCAAATGCTTTCTCCTTCCCTACCCCAGCTGAGAAGGATGTGGTACAGGGTGAGGTCTCTCAAGAGATGTCCTAATCAAGGGAGGCCTTTGCAACTGTAGTTCAAGATCTGGCTGCCTGGAGATCTCAGCTGGATTTAAAAAAGGATAAGGAGATAGCCCCCGTGTCTGCACCAACACCCCTGCCATGGACACACACAATGGGTGACTTCAGTCCTCTGAGCCTCTCCCCTGCTCAGGAGGGCTGGGGCATTCTCATTAATCCTAAACACAGCAGACTCCTTATCCTCACAGTTCTCTGTGGGGACCACTGAGCCCTCCTGTCTGTCTCCCCCCAAGGACCCCCGGGCAGAACCAGCAGTGCTCACAATGCTTCCTCTTTACTGAGTGCTCCCTGGAGCGCTTCTGACTTCCTCCTCGGCCACTGCCTCGAGCTACACCTCCATTTGGGTAGTGAATCGAACGGGCTGGTAGAGTAAACCAGGGCTTTCTCCCCGCTCCTTCCGTCCCTCTAACCCCCGCTCATATCAACCCGCCTTCCTGCTAGCAGGAGTGGTGCCACTTGTGTTTCCTGACACCCTCGGTTAAGGAAGAGATCTCTGTCAGACGGGTGGGCACATCCTTGTCACGGCAGCCAACTCCTCACCTGCTCAGTCGTCAAGTGTTTATCCCAGCTGTGTCTCTGCACTGGGCAGGCAGCATTTCCAAGCCAGTGAGCTTGACTTGAAATTAACAAACCCAGACGCTTGAAGCTACTTTTTAAAACCCCAGCAGGACTCCAATTCTATTTTGTCATTTCTTTTCTCGGGCCCTCCTCTCTGCCTCCAGCTCCCCTTGCCCTCCTCTCTGCCTCCAGCTCCCCTTGCCCTCCTCTCTGCCTCCAGCTCCCCTTGCATAGTTTTTATCCAGCGCCTTGGTACTGAAGCTGTCTGTTGTAAGGCTACCTCTGATATAAGGCTATCTGCTGTATGTTTTGTCTCCTGGCTCTTTGGAAGCTCATTATAAATACCTCTTTATAACAAGCACCTCCCTGTAATGTACGTTTAGTATCTTCTAAGCCTTATAGAAGTGGTGCTATGTATGTGTGCGTGTGTATATAAACTCTGTATTTATTATCTGTTTCCACGTGTGGGTCTGTGTATCTAGGGCAGTGCTGGGCACTAAGTGTGCAGCTGAGGGGTTTGCTTAAGGGGAACAAATCTGCAGGAGGAATGTTAAAATGGACTCTATGCCTTTAACGTGTTGTGGCTTCTGCCACTCCCCACTTACCAGCCTCCTAGTTGTGAGCGTGTTCCCAGGAATACATGCTAGCCCTGCTTGGGTTTTCAGGGCTGTGGAGCTGATGGGGAAGGGTCCCTGGGGATGTCTTCAGTAAGCCTTCCCCAGAGGCAATCGATCTATCTCTAGGTATTAACCCTGGGCCCATCCCTTTAGTATCTTGGCCCTTTGTTCCAGGAAGAGCAGCTACCTTCTGGGGGTCACAAGGTCACTCTTTGGTGCTCAGTTAGGTTTTAGCTGTAGTTCCTATCAGCCCAGGATTGTGTGTAGGCCCTAAAGCATGAACCCCGAGTTGAAAGCCAGCATGAACCCCAGTTTCCAGGGTAGAGGATGAAATGCATCGACGTGGTAAGAGCACAGTGAACTCGTTCAAGAGTGAGGGCAAATGAGCACCTGATGCACTCTGATCCAGCAAAGAACTTTACAGGAAAGAATTGAAATAAGCAAGGTGCATTTGTTGCCTCTTGGCCTCCAGTCGGCTCACCTGATGGGGGCGAGGAAAATAGAGACCTCATTTGAGGACTAACTGATACCTTCACTGTGTTGGAGACCCACCTGCAATATGCTAGTTCCCTCCACACAGTTAAAATATGCTTCCGTTGGCTGGGTCAGGCTGTAGCCCGTGTCAGTCACACCTGTTAGAACGTGGTCCCATCTGCACAGGCACAGCACAAACGTGCCATGGCGCTGCTGTGTTGTAACTGAGTACCCCAGCATTGCAGTCCTTGTAGTGTAGATGGGACAGCCTGGTAGCTACAGTAACCTGACTCCCATCATGTTTAAATCCAACCTAGGCCTTCTTTTATGCTTAACATCACCTTGTTAAAATGGCCTGGCCCTGAGAAACAGTTTCACCAAGGAAAGGAACTTGATGTGCCATCCATACAGGGTGCTACAGAAGTCGCATAGAGAGAGGTCTATTTTCAGTTACAATAGGCCAATTTGCATAGAACAGTGGCTTCCTGCTGCATCCCAGCCTCCGTCTCATCACTCGCCTTTCTCCCAACGCCCTCCCTCTGCTTGTCCTTTCCACCATGTGCGCCCTACCCCCATCTTGATACATCCTCAATCGCCTGTCTTTAAAGGGGCACTGTTGACTACTTTTTTCGTTTTAATTTTCTTTTTACACTCCCTTATTTGTAATACCCTCAGAGAAGCTCCAGAAATAAACCGCTCTTTGCCTACCGATCGTTGTCTTCCATTTGTCAAAATACTGAGCCTTTTCCTCCCCCCTCGCTCGTCTTTTCTAATCTTGCTCAGGCAAACGTGACTTCCATCCTCCCCACTTCCTGGCCTTGTCAGTGTCCGCACAGGGCTAGACCTGTCCTGATCGGCTGCTGCAGGAGCAGCACTGTGGATGATCTATCTTTTTGCCTGGGTTTGGTGAAACTAGGAAGTAGCCTAAAAAAAATAATAATTCAGCAACAAAGTGGATTTAAGAGGAAAGAATTCTGCATAAAAAGAGAGAACTTCCTTCTGGCTGGTACTGATCGTTACGGTAGGTCAAATTTTGGAACTTGAATTACTTGACAGTGCCCCTTTAACTTTTTGAGCTCTTGTCTAGCGACAGACACACCTCCTCTGCTTTGTTCCAGTCTCCGCTTAGTGAGTGTCTGTGTGAGTCAGGATTCAGCAAGTGCGACAGTTCCAGAGCCTCCATCCTTGGTCTTCCTGTGTCCAACTTTCCCATCCGTAAGGAGCCGTCTGTTTGACAACTGCTCCTGCCGTCATGTTGTAGACGTTCCTTTCTGTCAAAGTTCTTTTCTTGGCCTGCTCATTGGATGGGCCCTTATCCATTCCCTCTCCTGTGTGGTCATGTGGTTCTACCTTCTCTTCAAAGAGCTGCCAGTGAAATCAATGGGAGTTAGGTGCCTAAATACCTTTGTAGATCTGGGCCTAGCTTCTGGTCCCTTTTCTCCTGGTGAATAGTATTTAACGTCACTGAAGTCAATGGAACCATTCATGGAGTTCAGATGATACTCAGCCTAGGTGACGCTGTCAAAATCCGGCCCGGCGATGTTTTCCCTTTTCGTAGTTTCCTGCCCCAAAGTTAACACAAAGTGTAGAACTCAAAATCCTATTGATCACCGCAGCATTTTGCAGTGGTCAGCTTCACCCAGGAAAAGTTCTCACAAGCATCCCCAGGCCATTAAACTGGCAAAACCAGAGACCTCATAATTAGTCAAAGCTCTATATAATTTAAATGGTGACTTGCTGGTTTGTCATCTCTTGCCACCAGGATACAATTCCAACAAGCTCTGAAAGTTCCCAGTGTATGAACTATGTGCAGGGAGGGGGGAATGGTTACATTTTTCAAAATAATTCCTGTCACCATGTAAACGTCCTTTTTTTAAAAAGAGAAATCTAATTTTCAAGTTGAAATCACTGGAATGTCGAACTATGAAAGTCTGGGGCCTCTATCACACTAGCTGTTCTACTGGCTTTAAAAGCATCAGACCTCAAAGTCTGAGGCACACTCTGTTAAAAAGTCCCCTGAGAAATGTGCTGTGGGATTCCGGTACCATCATCCTCTAGGCAAAGATTTGCTCTGCTGCTTTGGCCTCTTAAATCCACGATCTCATTATGGTCTGGTATATTATGGAGTCTCATCCACCTGCATATATTTTTCCCTTCATTATGGCTAAGGATGGTGGCATGAAAACAGGATTTCGGAGTTAATCTGCTCTTGCTTCTACTTTTTCACCGGTAACCAGTTCTAACGTCCTGGCGATTTGCTGGGCAAATAACTGTTGTCCCTCTTGTAATTGTAACTTCAGGTGGGACATGAGCAGAAGGCTTAACACCTTCTGTTTCCATCCCAGCTGGCGTTAGAACTGGAGAACAAAGGGAATAAGAAGCTGCCTAGAAACAGGCTTGTTTCTGTCTCTTCCTTTCTAAGTCTTTTGTAGAGTCAGTGGCTGAGAAGCTTGGGTCTTGCTTTGGTTGGCTTGTGCAGATAACCCCATTAGGAATAATGGTGGTTTGTGCTGTCCACTCTTCATTGAGCGACAATGACCACTCTCAAAACCACATGTGGCATTTCTGCTCTGTGTGAGTTGCACGGTGATTTTTAGCTCCAAGCAAACAAGTATCTTGCTGTCTTCCCCATCAGATGCATTTATATCGGCATAGATTCCAATACCTCTTCTAGACAAAGGTTTGTTCTCCAGTTAGTTTAATCTTGGGTATGTTCTATTCCCTGTAGAGGGAATAGAGACTCTGCGTGAGTAGATTAAGCTTTTCCGTTGCTCAGGGCAAAGATTAAAGATATTGTCTCCTGTCCATGCCACCCCAAAAGGTGG